GAGGCTCCTCATGGTGCCTTACATGGTCCCTTAAGGCTGATTCATTGCAGACATTGTTTGTTCCCACTTTTCATAAAGTCACTCTCTTAGCCCTCTTATTTAGTAATTTAAATATAAAATGGTATTGAACCTACCTTACTTTTGGTAGGCAGTTTCCCATCCTTCCAGTGGATCTCTGCACCCTTGGGTAGCCAATTTTGGCGTGGTTTCCCTGCTGGCTGAATTCTTTTCTGTACTGGCTGTGTTACAGAGCAAAATTCAGTGACCAAAGAGACTCATTCTCTCTCACACCGTAACATGCAGCACCCAGATATTGTGCACCTAAAAAAAACCCTCAAAAAACAAAAAAACAAAGCCTCCACCACAAACCAGCACTGATGGGTAGGGGTGGGAGAGGAAGAGGGGAGGAATGGATGGGTGACGTGGCTTCCTGGGGCGCCAGGGCCAGCAAGGGAGCGCTGATGCTGGTGGCCTCCACAAAGTGACTACCAGGTTGCAGCATGGACTCCCTCTAGGATCCCTTGACTGAAATAGCAACTTGGGGTGCTCTCAGAAAGAGGAAACCACATGCCTGGCCATCTTGCTGTTCTGAGAAACAGTGTGACAAACCAAATGGTAGAAAACAAACCCTTCAACCCCAGCGAAGCACAACCTTTGCTACTGAAGCTTTCCAATGCAATTTGATTTTTCTTCCTTCCCTCCTTTTTGTCTTTTTTTATCCCTTTTTCTTCCTCCTGAGCTACAGGGAAGAAGAAAAGTAGAAAAAACAGAAATACAATTTGCAGGGCTGATGGTTCAGGGAGTAAGTATGTTTTAATTCACACATTGTAATTGCGGTACATCTCAGGAACAGAAAAAAAGATTCTCTGTAAGACTTCAGGTGTCTGCAGCAATTTCATCAAAACACAGAGGTGAGCAGTGATGGTTAACCAGAGACTTTCAAAATATGTGCTGTCCCCTGGTAACATGTGGTTTTGCAGATCAATGTAGTCCACCATGAGCTAGGTCTCAGCAAGGCAGCACCCCTCCTTGTTTCTCTTTTGCAGTTGCTATGCAGTCCCTCACCAGATTTCAGTGCCAGCAGCTGCAATTTGCAGCCCTTACTGCAGCCGGCGGTGGTGCAGTAGTGGAGGGAGGGAGCCCAGTTCGGGAAGAGATTGCAGATCAAATATCTCCAAGTCAAACATGACCAAAGATAAACAGCTGTGGCCGCCTACAGACTACCTTTGTGCCGCATGATCTAGAACTGGTGCACAAACACGACGTGCTGTCTGTAGCCCTGCCAAAATGAGCATCACCTGGCCCTGCAGCATCCCTTGGCTGCTGCCTGCAGCTCCTGCCGCAGCCTGCCCCGATGCAGCGATGCAGGCAGGGGCGGTTCTTGGCAGGGGGCGGCCCACCT